CGGCGCGCCCGGGGCGCACGCCTCCTTCGCCTCCTCGGCCTTCGGGCCTCCTTCCCGGCCCCGGGCTCCGCGGCAGAAGGCAAGATGGCTGCCATCCTTCAGTTATCACAGTACTGTACCTTTAGAATGGACAGCATCAGCACTGTGATAACTGAGCCAGGGCAGCCTGTCAGTCTCCGTGCTGGCCCGCGGCGTCCTGGGCGGCTCCCCGCGAAGTGACGAAGGCTGAAAGGTCCCCGTCCGGCTGGAGAGGTGGGCAAGCGCAAGGAAACGCGGGGTCCTAGCCCCAGCGCAGGGTGACGCTGAAACAGTGAGAGGCGCGGCTGAGTTCGAGCAGAAGGAAAGACCCGCACGCGATCTACACGTGCGGACGGCGAGCGACCGCGCGACCACGCGGCGGGCGGTCCAGCTGCTCCGGGTCGCTCTCCCACGCGGCGACTCGCGGGCTGTGTCCTTGCCTTCAGTCGTGCATGAAATAAAAATTTATTGAGGAACTACGATGTTGCAAGACTCTCCTAGATGCTCAAGAAATTAAGACAAGCCATGGCCCCTGTTCTCAAGGTGCTCCTGATGCAACACAGCGATCTTTCACCTCGGTCTGACATTCAAGATGCTTTCTTATTTGATTTTCCACACGAATCCTACTGGGTTGTCAATGAACTATTCATGAATTCATAAAAAAAGGATTCCGGAAATAGGTGAGATACTATTGGCCCATTTTACAGACAGAAAATAAAAACCTAAGAGGGGTTAGGTGATTCACTTGAGATCATACCCTAAGTTACGGTGAACCTGGGCTCCAGACCATGTCTAATGACTGAGGTCAGTGCTTTCTCTCTCTACCCAAATCTGGCCATTCAACTCCATCAACTGGATATCCAGGTTACACAATTTACACAAACAAAAGGATTTCTGAAAATATCTACTTTTTGCTTAAGGTTTTTAGTTTTCTCAGTATCTCAGGTCATAAAGCAGAAATTAGTGGGGGTTTTATGCTTTAAGAAGAAATGTACATTAGTTTAAAAAAAAGACTTTTATTGTTCTTATTCTGAGCGCTAAGAATGTACTCAAACTAATGACACTGATGATTAAGTACTTAGCATGCTTGCAGGGTTTTTTTCACAACAGTTAATGTCAATCCTATCCTTACGGTGGTGCAAGAATCATTGATAAACTTTGAAATGCCTTTAAAAAAAATCAACATATACACATCACATGCTTTGAAATTATCTGCACCTTCGAGGTGTATCCTGAAGTCACTTCAGGGATGATTCTTACTTTAATGAAAAAGTACAAAAAGGTTCTGAAATTGGATTTCAGGCTTAAGAATACCAACTTATTAAAAACCATGACGCTCAGTTCTTTTCCATGTTGGCCATAAATTCTCAAGGCATTTCAATATGAGTGAAACTTGACAGATATCTGAAAAATAATGTTTTCAATTAGGCATTTACTCAAGTTTCAAAGACTCATTATATGTAAATTAGATATTAGCATTGTACTTCAAATAAGTCAGAAGATGAATCAATTCTTTTGATAAGCAGAAGTCAAAAAATAAGAGTATAATGATTCTAGCTCAATTACTAACCTTTATGACTATGAAACTGACCTTATCTTCAGAAAAGTCATATCCAATGAAATAATCCACCTACACACAAATTAAAACAACATTCTCTAAAGTGCAAAAATATCTGAAAGTTAAAGAGGTCACTGCCTAGGTCTTAGCCAACTGATGTAATACAAAATTGAAACACGAGAGGGCAATGAAGATTTTTTTAAAGAAAAAGTTGGATCCCATAACCTAAGATTCCTGGAAATAGCTGCACATTTTCACCCAAATTATAAACATCTGTTAAATGAACAAAGGTACTGTGGTAGTTTGAGAATAAAATGTAAGATAGCTGATCCATCAAAAGGATAAAAAAGATTACCACCTGACACCTCCTGGCCACAAGTTCTGTCCGCTTTGGCAAAGACGAATACTTGCTTTGAGATACTCGAGGGAGGGTAAGTATGGGAACAAATAAGTAACACTGATAAACTTATCAGTTATTAGACTGTTCTTCAGTGAAACTGAATGTCTAAATGCGAAGTATACAAAGATGAACTTAATGTTTGTAATGTACTACAAAGCTGAAATTCACTCTATTAGCCAAGACCAAAAACCAGACAACTAAACATTTTTGGTACAATAAGTAAAGGATATTTCCTTTATTTCCTTATTTTTCTCTCATTTCAATTTTTTTTCTATCTAAATTAGGGGTTAAAAAACAAGAGACCAAGTAATAAAAAGCAAATTGTTATTCTGTCAATAGTGAAATTAATATTCTCTCAGAATTCTAAAGCAGTTTCGAGAAAAATATGGGTTTTCCAAATTATAATTTATAAATATTAATTAATAAAGGCTTCAAAAATGTCAGTTTTGTTTCTCCTTGGAAATTATTCTTTACAAATGTACATTTTTTAAAAAAACAAATCTATCGGAAACATTTTCCCATAGATTTTTCTTACAAAAATGGAATTGTTTTGCTTTTAAGACAAGTGAATGCAGGTGCTCATGCTACAATATGAAAAATATACTGCACAGTAAGAGAGAGAAAAGGAAATAGTGATGTAAAATGTTTTCCTCCAGGGAGTAAATTGATTTTAAATTTTCTTCTCTGATAAAAATGATACAACTGAGAACAATTTCTTCACGATGTATGTACCAAATATTACCACCTAGAAAATCGAGTATTCTGGCAAACTAGTATACTAAAGAACTTGCTTTTAAATCTTGTGTAGTACAAACATACACACAAAAACTATGTCATGTCCCTCTTATCTATGAACAGAAAATAAAAATGATTTTGAACCTTTAAGGATCTGGTTATATATTAAATAATTGGAGGTATTATAAGCTGCTGGCATACAAAATATTTGAAAATACTTTTAAACTAAAATAGTTTAAATAGGTTCATTTAAATCCATCAGTCTTTTACTGGTGTGATTTTTTCCCCCCCACTGTGAAAACCATAATCCAACTCAGTGACATTGTAATACATGCAAATGTGACTGAACTGTGGTATTATAATAATGTACTGTCAACAAAAGATACTCAAATGTCAACTACTGCTTTGTCAGAGGTACAGAGAATGTATATTAGCATTTTATTGCAAAGCTTTACTATATTAAGAGTGTTTTAAAACTAACTTGTGCCAAAGTTTAGCGGGAAACTTTTTAAAGGAGAAAGAAATTGGCTGAAAAGGCAAGAAAAAGCTAAGGACCACTGCCCTACGCAAATCTTCCCCGATTCTCCCAGAGAAGCATTAATTGGTGGTGTAACTGTTTTACCTACTTTAAACACTGACCTCTAAATAGTCTCATGCTGCATAACCTTAGCAGGCCCATCTGGAGGAAAAGACCTATGATAGAAAGTATACAGAGACAGAAGAATGTGCTTTCTTGCTTATACTGGACCAGTATTTTAGTCCAAAATTTGGCTCCAGGAGACTAAAATTTACAAATAAATGGACCGGCCCATAAATTCTGTTATATAGACCCCTTACACTTTCACTCAGCATACATACTTTTAGTCTGCCTACTCCACAGATATTTTACTTTCTGCTTTTGCTCTAGAATCCATTTTTTCCTCAGAGTTTGGATTTTAGTCTGTTCACAAGTCAGTTTTACTCTGATTTCACCCCAGCATTCTATCCTTTTAGAATAAATAATCTACCCCTAAAGCTAACCATCTCTAACAACCCTGACCGTCTCCAATTAATCCATGATCTCCTCATTACTGCAGCAGTGCCATTTAAAAATGCTGGGTCTTAAATTCTCAAATTCCCTTAACAGACAGCTAAAGGGGGCAATACCAAAGACTTGCACTGACCTCCAATTCTAGAGCCTTGGGCTGTTCCAGAAACACAATTATACTCCTCTTTTCTGCAGAGTCCACCATTCTCAGAGCTGCTATTTCTACAGCTGTAAAATGAACACATTTCTACTTGTAACATATGCCACAATTGGGCTACACTCATTATTAAGTGCTGTATCTCCTACTGGACCTTAATTCGGCACGGTTTACCTCTTCTTTACTCAAATCAACAGGACTGTTCCTACAGTCAGGGACTCTTTTCATGACCCTTCACAACACTAGCAATAGTCCTTTCCACAAAGCGCAAGCTCAACAAACATTTGATTAATTGATGAACCTCTTTATTTCCCAGGGATTCTCTAAATAGGTTATCAACAAAAGTATGTTTAATTCCAGCCTCTGTAGGTATGGTTTTAGGCAAGTTACTTGACAGTTTGTCTATAATAAAATGAAGGGATAGTACTAAATGGCCCCTAAGTCCCTTCCAGTACCATTACTGAATTTCATGAGAGAAAACCAAACTCCCAACACAGCACTATCTCTATTCAAATCAGCATTGTATTTTTTTTGGGGGGGGGGGAAGGGGTCAGCAATCTTCTAGGCACAACTACCACCAGTGGAGCTACGACAGGGGGTGGGGGAAGAAAGTAAATGAAAGGAAAGAAAATAAGCAAAGGTGAATGGTAAGTGGAATCACTGAGATGCCACCTGGTGTCACAATTGTTACTGTGCTACAAACTGTTCTCTGATATATTCTGGCATACCTAGGAGCCTTTTACAAAAGCAGCTACAGCCAAATGTTTGGGTACTCAAAATTTCCCATGCTGCCCCCCACTAACCCTTCCAGTACCCTGCACATTTTATTGACCTTCCTGAGTAGGGCACACCTCCTGCATAGAAATCTGCAAAGCAGTCACTATCAGGTCTCACATACCGTAATAACAACTCCTGGAGTCCCTAAAAAAGCAGGGGAAAGTAAATGACTGACAAACATGAAATAACTGTCATGCAGTCACCTCTTCTGAAATGAATCCATGGACCAAAAGGAGTGATGTTATAAGCCAGCACCGTCCAACAGAAGTAAAATGTAAGCTATGTGTGTAAATAAACAGATTAAATTAACTTTAACAATATATTTACATTCAGTATATACAAAATATTATCACTTGAACACATAATCAATATAAAAAGTATTCATGAGATATTTTACTTTCTTTTTTGTATTAAGTCTTTGAAATATGGAGCATATTTTATGCTTATAACACATCTCAATTTGAACACTAAATTTCATTAGAAATAATCTGTATTTGGATTGTATAAAATTTAGTTTAAAAAGTGCACACACGTGCCCAAGTTGTTTCCAAATGTATTTAAGTTTTCCAATAGCTGAATCAAATATCAATTTTAAGAATTATATGAAATTTGAAATTCAGTTCCTCATCGCCGTGGCCGTATTTCAGGTGTTTGATAGCCACGTGTCTAAGTGGCTACCATATTAATGCAGATACAGCCAACCTGTGTCTCTAACCTGGCTTCTTTTAAACCTGAACCAGATTAAAAGTAGTTACCCCTGTTCAACAGCAAGTCATTCTACAGCAACCACCAGGTGCTCAAATTATGCCAACTGTTTTCTGCCCCACTACTAATCCTTAAATTGTCAATATTTCAGTGATGATCACTTATTAAGCAGCTCTTCCCAAAGACTGAACAACTCTTTTAGCTCAGAGAGAAAGGCACATCTCAATTAAGGGAGAGAATGGAGACACTGAGATTCAAAGATATGGAATTTGTTTTGGAGGTAAAGGTGCAAAATCTTGGCATCATTACTTCTCTGTCCAGGATATTAGTTACCCTTCGAAAGTTATAGCCATTATTTATGCTGAGCCACTGGACTTCCATACTCACAGCTGCTGTCACTGCATCCTTGGATTCTTCACCTTCCTCAAGCGCTCCCTCCTAGCCTGCGCCCCAACCTCCTTTATCCCTAGCAAACTCTCTAGCACACACTCCAGGAGCCCATCCTTACTTCATTCTAAAGAGTGCTTGTTATTGTTGACATACTGAAACACATGAATAATTCAATAAATGAATCTCAAACCATCCTATTAATCATTCATTGGTCTAGGTACCCAAGTTATCTTGAGAAAAGCTTTTCTGAATATACATGGAAAGTATGCCCCCACCCTTACCCAAAGGAACCAATTACAAACCCTACAGCTTTCTCTCTGCATGTCAAAGTTCAGTGTTCCTCTCACAGCTGATTTAAAAGTTGATCTTCTAAAGGAGCTGGATTCCTAAGGTAGTTCTATTTTGAGCCTCCTTCCTGTTCTGAAGCTAAAGTTGGAAGGGCTTAGGGGGTGATGTCATGGAAGGGAGACCGCTGGCTTTACAGAAGGGTCTTCTCCAGCAACTGTGGGGATGCTTGGGTGGTGGAAACTAGGGGGAGTATTCCTGTCTCATCTCTCCGCGCCCTCTCTTTTGAGTGCCAGCTACTCATCAGCCAGCAAGAAAACAAGTTCAAATAAGCATGCAAGCATATTTACAAATTTTACTCTTTAAGTGCCTCATAAATGAGAAGACTGGGGAGGAGGAAAATGCTTGAAACCAGGTTGGAAAAGGGTGGCCCTCCCCTTTCTCCACCTATTACCTCCACCTCTCCAAACATCTATCACAGGACCAGGGGCAGAGGGCGGGAGGGACAGTTGGCAAGAAGAATAGAGGCATGATAAAGCTAGGACGCTTGAAGAGGGAAATGCTGTGGGGCATATTCAGGACAGAAAGGAGACCCTTGGGTCTCTTCTCTTTCTCTGTTCTCTCCTTCCTTTTGTGTGGTCAGATTTGGGGCTGGGTGTGCCTTCTGGTTTGGGAGGCCTGTTTGGCTCTGAAGAACGAAGAGGGGCCAGGGTGCGGCCCAGGGAAAGAGAGCCAGAGACTGCTTAGGCCTGATTCTGGGCTAAACTCTTAGGGGAAGGATGAAGGGGACTGGAGGGGGACAGCTGAGAATTCCTTTAGAAGACCCAGTGCGGAGTAAATAACGGCAC